TCTTTGGTAATGCTTATCACTCTTGCTACTTTACATAAAGAATGTTTGGGTTGTCCATATCCCACACCATTTGTAGGTTCACAGAGGCATATTCAAGGTTTTCCTTCTCTTTTTTCAGCTCTGGGTTCCACTGGTGCCTCTGTCACTTACTGTGTGATCAGGATGGCCCACTCCAACTAGTCTGTGCTTCAGATTCCTTACCTGTAGCATGAGGATAAAAATGGAGATTATCTCGTAGGGTTTTTATGGGGATTAAATAAGATAGAATTTGTGAAATGCTTAGAGCAGTTCTGGAGATGCTTGAATTACTATGCAAATATTTGTTAGATAAAAATCAGGTGAAAAAGATGTTTGAATAATGGATAACAAAGATGAATTAACAGAACTTCATGCTTTATTTCAGGAGTTCTGATTTCTTCCATGCCATCTTCCTTTGGATGACGTCTAGGTGAGATCTGTCACAGTCACATCCTCCCAAGACATAGAAGGTCTTAAAGACATGGCCCAGAGGTCCTCTGAAGTCCCTGTCAGATATCCAGCCCTGTCCTACTCCTAGGGCTAGGAATGCTAAAAGGTCTGTGTCAAGGGAGAGTGACTCAAGGCATAAGCCTGCAAGAGTTCCCAGACACAACTTTTCAGAAAGAGTTTCTGGGAAAACCAAGACCAGCAGTGGGCACGGAAATATCATTCAGCAGTTCTCTGCCAGATCTGCAGCTTGGTCTGCTCAGGAGAGGGACAGCCCACTGGATTATGGGACATTTCTGAGGCTCTTGACACAGTTAATGATCTTATTCTTGTCATGCCTGCAGATAGCTAAAATTGAAACGCAGAAATTATGCAACAGATCCAGTCACGTAGCTCGGGTGAAACCGAGCTGGGTCAGATCTCCAGACTCTAGACTTACGTTTAATCTGATGAGATTCATGGTTGTGCTATTATCCCAGCACGGACTTTGTTTAGTTACAGAAGCTGTTAACATAATTTCAGAGTTGTGTGTCCCGGGACTTCTTGGTCATCTGGTAAAAATGACGTTACCAGGAAATGAAAGTACCGAATCAAGGCTCTGGAGAAAGTGTGTGTCAGAATCAAGTAGGAAAACAAACAAGAAAACAAAAATATTTAAGGAGATAAAACAGGGCGAAACACCAAAGCAAGATCAGAAATGATCTGTGTACATTAGCAGAAGAGAAACTTCTGTACTGGTAGCTGAATACAGGACAAGGGTGTTACTGATTTGCTGATAGCTTCTAGGACATACTGAGGGAGTTGGCCCTCAAACTAAAAGTAGCATGTATTCAGAAGAAGTATTTTTTTTCTCATCAAGTTTATTGGTACACTTTAGGTATACAGTGCAGTTACATTCACCATTGGGATCTTATACCTTTCCATGACAGGTCTTGGATTTCAGTTTTTTCCCCTTGTCCCTGCCATCCCTTCAGCCCTCCCTTCCCTATTTGCAAAGACTTTGTTTCCATTTTTTTATTTTATCATATTTTTTCTTTTCCCTTATTTCCTTTTCCCTACCCTTCCCACTTCCCCCACACCTTTAACCCTTTTATTCCTATTTCACATTGTCAATTATACCATTAGGATCTTATGTATAATTATAGTTTTTCACACCAGAGAAACTATTCAGCATTTACACATGTGACTTACTTATTTCACTTAGAGTATATCCTCAATATGCATCCATTTTCCTACGAATGACTCTAATTTCTCATTCTTTATGGCTGAGTAGTATTCCATTTTATAGAAGAGCCATATCTTCTTTATCCAGTCTCCAACTGATGGGCAGAAGAAGCATTTTGTAATTGTAAGTCTGCATCTATGTTTGAGTATTTGATTAGTTAGGAAGTTTTTTTTAAGGTTTATGAATATCCAAAAGAAGTTGGAAGAACTATCCATCTTTTACTTTGCACTCTTTCTCAGTTCTTTCCTTGTCTCACACACAGTGAGACAAAATATAGTTAAAACAGAATGGGTTTGTAATTTCATAGACCTGTATCCAAATCCCAGGTCTGACACTCGTTGTATGCTTTCAGTGGTTTGCTTTGCTTCTGTGGACTTCAGTTTTATTATTAGTAAAGTGATTATGGTAATACTTATTAGAATCCATGTGGACCTAGTACATAACAGACACTCAGGGAGATATTGGATACAGCATAACCTATACTTATTGAAAATGCCAATTTAAGACAGGTTTATCAAGGCAGTGTAATAGTGATGCAAGCATGGACAGAGAAAGGGAAAATAAAGAATTTCAAAACAGACCTGAACAAATATGGTTAATTGATTTTTGACAAAGTTTCTAAGATAATTCAATAGGAAAAAGCTAATCTTTTCAACAAAGGGTGCTGGAGCAATTGCAAAAAAAAAAAAAAAAAAAAAAAAAAACCCAAATTAAAAAAAAAAAAAAAAAAAAAAAAAAAAACCAAAAACAAAACAAAAACCCAAATTAAAAAATAAACAAAGTGAACTCTTGCCCCATATACTAAGTGGACCATAGACTTAAATACATAAATCAACTGTAAAATTTTTTAGAAAAAAAAATAGGAGCAAGTCTTCATGATCTTGTGTATAGCAAAAATTTCTTAAATAGGATTCATGGAGCATAACCAGAAAAAACATTTGATAAATTGGACTTTATCGTTATTAAGAAATGTTCTTCAAAAGACCCTGTGAAGGATATGCAAATGTAAGCCATTGAGGAGGAAGTATCTGTAAGATGGCTTTGTTTCTTTAGCACTGCTGCCTCCTGAAACTGCAATGCAGCACAGACATAACTGAATTCGTGTGCCCTTCCTTTCTGTGACAATGGCACTTGCCAGGCTCTCTGCCCTTCCATAAGAGTTATGCCAGTTTTCACTGTCACAATTCTCAAGTTTTGGCCTGATGGAGGGCTGGAGAAAAGACCAAGGTAGGGGCTGGGAGGTTGTAACCCCCAAACTTAAGTTCCCTTCCTGGGGTGAAGGTTGGGGAGACAGAAATGAGCAGTCTGGAGAGAGGCATAGGCACTTTTAGAAGCCACTAGAAGCCTGTTGCAGCCACAGGGACTTCCAGCAATGGCAAAAACACACATAAACCGAGAGTACACTTTCTGCCAGCTGGTGCTAAGAGTTTTACAGGCACTGATTCACTGAACTGTAGTAGAAAGGTCCATGCTGGGAGTGGTGGGTCAGCAGAGGAAGCAGGGACACCTTGCAGGCAACCAGTGGAATTTCATCTAGGCTGTCCTCTCCCTGCTCCTGGGATGACTCCTGAAGTGGTGGATTTTTCTCTTCCTGTGTCTGTCCAACTTCCTGAGTCTTTTGGCCTCCATTTTAGATTTGTCCAAGCATGCATGCCCTTTCTTGTTTTTTACTGATTTGGGCTGTTGGATCCTGTTTGGAAATTTATTTTGTTTGAAACTTCAGTTTCTGATTGTCTTCCTGGTAGCAGGCTTTGTTCTTTCTGCCCTTTTAACCTGATATCCTTTCTCCCCACCTCCTGTCTGCCTTCACAGATCTTCCAGTTCCCAGCCTGTGATAAACCCTGGGTGATTATCAACCTTGAACATCCCAAAGTGCACAATCCACATTTTTGGGATTAGCATCTGACAAGCACGAGTCCTGAGGGTCTCCCTTGGTCTAGTGTTCCAGATATCCCTGGAGGCCAAGATGTGGACTCACCTCTGCCAGGGCTCATGGATACAGGTTGGAAAGGCCAGGTGTCCCTTGGCCAAGGGAACTATACAGCTTTTAAGGACTGACACAGTTTTGAGGGCATCTTTATTGGTGAGCAAAATTCCACGGGGTTAATTATCTCAATGCCGGGATTTTTAGGAGAGCCAGCTGGGGATGTAGGGGTGAGCATAGACCAAAACATTTGGTGACTGGTCCAGTAGGCTGCCCTAGAGGCTCATGGTCCATTGCCCCAGAGGCTCTTGGTCCACTCTTTCCCAGGTGTCCCATTAGAATTAGGGACTTACTCACATTCCCAGGGAGAGTTCCAGAGCCTGGCCTTTATATGTTCTGGATGGGTCAGAGGGTAGTTTTCACATTTCCCTTTAGCTTCAAATGTACAACAGCAGAACCATAAGGGATATTGCCTTTTGCTTGCAAGAAGGTCTGGCTGCAATTCATAGATCATGGACAACCAGAGGTGGAGGGTTCATTCTAGTTTACTTTCATTTAGAATAAGTCTCTCAGAATAAGCATGCCGGGGTCGGAGGGACTGGCATCAGTCTTCAACTCTTCCTCCGTTTTGATCAGAGCAGCCATTTTAACCAGACTCTGTCTAGATGTTCAGAACTTGGACTGTGCTCAGTGGACTCATGGGGAGAAGTCCAGCCACTCTGGTGACTTAATGAGCTGCTGGAAGCAGCACAGGGATGTGTGAAAGACATCTGTGGGATGCTTCAGAGGAGTGGCTGTGCGCGGGAGAACGGAGCCAACCCCTCTCACAGTATCTATCACCAGAACAACTTTCCAGCTCACATAGCCCACTGAAAATAACCCGAAAGATTTAAAAACTAATGAATATAAAAAATAGTTTGGTGAGCTTGATGCATAAGACAATTGAGATCTCTCTGTGCTTTTAGGAGGCTGACCTGCACCAGCTGGCTTTCCATCTTAGTACAGTCAATCTGAAAGGAACTTGAAAGTTCCAAGGCTTCACAGAACAGTAGTTGCTGAACCTCCTCCATGCCCAGTGATTTTAGGTATTATGGACCTGAGATGTGGAACATTTAATAAAGGATTTATCACTATTACATAGTTAGCGGAAAAGCTAAAACTTATGCCTTAGTTTCTTGACAGGAAATCCAGCTTTTGCCTCCAAAAATCTTTCATTCAAATAATGAGTTCTGACTGCCTCCAAAACCCACAGGTAGCAGAATGTTTATCTCTCTAGAGGGAAATGAAACATGAAGTTATTTTCAATGAGGATGGAATCCCGGGTAACAGTTGCAACTTAGTACACTCTTTTAGGCCACCTGAAAGTTCTGGCTAGACAATGCGGCAGGGAGGAGTGGTTCCCACTTCCCAGTCTTTTTCTTTTCACAGCTGCAAAGTTCAGCTTTGAGTTCCCTGCTTACTCTGCCACAGTCAACCACTGTTGTAAATCTTCCTCCGGGAACACGTGACGATGCATTTTCTTGACTATATACCCCAAGCACAGCAGCACAGCTGTCAGAGCAGGAGCCGGACGCAGAGAAGCAGCGCTCTTGAACTTCAGTTAGGAATTCAGGACTTGGGACAAGTCGTCAGCCTTTGGTAAGTCATCAACGCTAACCGCTCCAGAAACCCTGGAAAGGATAATATTTCTGACTACACACTGAGCAACTTTCTTTCTTTTTTACTATTTGTTTTTTTTTTTTTTTTT